AAGTACAGGTCTTTTACATCCTTGGTTAAGTTTATTCCTAGGTATCTTATTTTTTTAGTTGCAATGGTAAATGGTATTGTTTTTTTAGTTTCTCTCTCTGAAAGTTCATTGTTGGTGTATAAGAATGCCATTGATTTCCAGATGTTGATTTTGTATCCAGCTACCTTGCCAAATTCATTTATCAAATCTAGTAGTACTTTGATGGAGTCTTTAGGGTTTTCTATGTACAATATTATGTCATCTGCAAATAATGACAGTTTTACTTCCTCCTTTTCAATTTGGATACCTTTTATGTTTTCTTCCTGTCTGATGGCTATGGTGAGGACTTCCAGTACTATGTTGAATAAGAGTGGTGAAAGTGGGCACCCCTGTCTTGTTCCTGTTTTTAATGGAAATAGTTTTAGTTTTTACCTGTTGAGTATGTTGGCTGTAGGTCTGTCATATATGGCCTTTATTATGTTGAGGTATGATCCCTCTATTCCCACTTTGTGGAGAATTTTTATCAGAGATGAGTGCTGGATTTTGTCAAATGTTTTTTCTGCATCTATTGATATGATCATATGATTTTTGTCCTTCATTTTGTTTATGTGATGTATCACATTTATTGATTCGCGGATGTTGTACTAGCCTTACATCCCTGGAATCAATCCCATTGGTCATGATGTATGATCTTTTTAATGTATTGCTGGATACAGTTTGCTAGTATTTTAGTGAGGATTTTAGCATCTATGTTCATCAGGGATCTTGGCCTGTAATTTTCTTTCTTTGTAGTATCTTTATCTGGTTTTGGGATTAGGATGATGCTGGCCTCATAAAAAGAGTTTCAGAGTTTTCCCTCCTCTTGAATTTTCTGGAATAGTTTGAATAGAATAGTTGTTAATCCTTCTTTGAATGTTTAGTAAAACTTGCCTGTGCTGGGAGTTTTTTGATTACTGCTTCAATTTCATTAGTAGTTATCGGCCTATTCAGGTTTTCTGCCTCTTCTTGATTCAGCTTTGGAAGGTTGTATGTTTCTAGGAATTTGTCCATTTCCCCCATGTTGTCCAATTTGTTGGCATATAGTTGCTCATAGTATTTTCTTACAATCCTTTGTATTTCTGTTGGGTCAGTTGTTATATCGCCTCTTTCATTTCTGATTTTATTTATTTGGGTCCTCTCTGTTTCTTAGTGAGTCTGGCTAAAGGTGCATCTATCTTATTTACCTTTTCAAAGGACCAGGTTTTGGTTTCATTGAATTTTTTTTGTATTTTTTTTAGTCTCTATGTCATTGATTTCTTCTCTGATTTTTATTATTTCCTTCCTTCTACTTCCTCGGGGCTTTTCTTGCTGTTCTCGTTCGAGTTCTTTTAGTTGTTGTGTTAGATGGGTTCATTAGATCTTTTTCTTGTTTCTTGAGATAGGCCTGTAATGCTATGAATTTTCCTCTCAGGACTCCTTTCGCTGTGTCCCATAGATTTTGGGTTGTTGTCACAGCACTGTTTTTGATGACACACACTCGGGACTCACTGGGGTACCTTTTCCTGTCTTGGTTTACTTGAATGACTGGATAAATCCAGGTGAATAGGAAAGCATCTGCTTCCTGTTATAGTGGGAGAAGAGATTGGAAACATAGCTTGGAATGATTAAAATATGGTCAAATTTGGTCAGAAACAAAATTTTTGGTAAATGCTAATAGTCTGGCTTAGAATCTTATGAGGAATAAAGAGCCGCAAGGAATGATCTCAGTGAAAGTTGAGAAAGTGAGGCTGTGGCCTTACTCTCACCACTTCTTCGAAGTGATAGAATCACTTGTCATTTTCCATCATGGTGATGAAGTTCATCGAGGCCTTCTAATCGGAGCTGCAGCTGGGGGTTCCTAACAGTTCAGTCTCAGGTGATTATGATGTGAAGGAACTGATCACTCACTAAGAGACCCTGTTCCATTTTTAGGCAGGTGAAATCCTCAGAAAACACTCACCCAGGAGCTCTCCCTCATAGGCCCAGGACCAAGTTTTATGCCCATGTCTTCTCCCTTGTTCTCTTCTTCTTTATAAGTGGACCTCAGGAGCTCTGCCCATTCTGTTCTTTTCTCCAAAGGTGGCTGCTGCTTCTAGCCCCTTGTCTTGTTTTCTGATTTGGTTCTGGGCTGTTCTAAGACTCACCAACACAGAAAGACAGAGAGAAGTTAGCCTTGGAGTCTCTAGGTAGAGAAGTGGGTGGTGGTGGTGAGTGAAGATGTCTGATACATTTTATGGACAGAAGAATGACACAGAAAGGTGCCTCCTAAGAGTGCCAGCTTGAAATCAGACAGCCTGTGTTGGACTCCTGTCTCCTTGGCTGGACAGCTGTGTGATGGTGGCGGCTCCAGCCTTTCTGGGCCTCCGTCATCTCTTATGTGAAATGGGGCTATAGTATCCATCTGTCAGGGGTCTAGGAAGGAGTAAATGGGGTGATACATGTAAAGCAATCAGCAGAGAGCTGACACTCCAATACAGCACGGCTCTTATGATCTTGCTGTGTTGGTGGGTGGTCACTTTGTGGAGCTGGGAGGTTGAGCTGAGGGTGGGCAGGTAGGGTGCAAAGGAAAAAGTGTGGCAAGTTAGCTCTCTATCCTCAGATACTCCACCAGGTCACCTGGACACATAAATAGTGTTGCTGTGATGCTCTGGCTAGTGGATCAAAAAGCAGACTTGGTCATCGATGTCCATTGCTGTTTGGGGCAAAAGAATTGTGGCAGAGCTGTTGAGTGATACACAGGTGTCTTTTCCAGAATGTGACTGCTTTCTCTTTGGGTCTGCCTTTCTGTGTCTTTGTGGCTGGAAACCACCTGGCATCCTTGTTAGCTGGTGGCTGTAGGACCCTCTGGTGTTTTTCAGAGGACACATTTCTGATAAAAGGGCGTTAAGCCCCTGGGTGAAGCAGAATGTTGGGAGAAATATAAGGGGAGGGTTTTCTCTTCAAATGGCTTTATATTTTCTTGGATATTTGATTGTAAACCATTTGATGGGAGTAAAATTTATGAAGACAGTTTTAAGCAACTTTGATTTAGAAGACAAAATTGAAGGTAATTTGCCTTTTAACTTAGCATCTTCTGACTTTACAAAAGTTATACTCTTCGATCTTTTTCTGAGACTATGCAGGGTATCATAAGAAAATTACTTTTCCAACTTCTAATTTAAAAATCTTTAGTAGGAACAAGTAGTGATAGGTAGCCTCCAAGAACAAGGCTTTCTTTCTTAGTCCCTCTTGTTGCTCACTCCCTGGCCCACTTGCCAGTATTTGTTCTTGGTCAGTGAGGTAGCCTCTTGCTAGTAGAAGATACACAGTTGAACATTATTGCAAGAAGAGAGAATCTAAACTTTTGAAGCTCTTGCTTGCATATTTGGACAGCATGTTCTTATGATAGTCTTGCAAATCGATTCAAGTAATGTTTACAGCTGATTGGTTCTTTCCATTTGAAATTGTGACATAACATTTATGTTATCTGTACTTTTAAAAAATTTGTTTATTGATTTGAGAGAGAGATTAAAAGAGGGAGAGAGAGAGAAAAACAGTGATTTGTTTTTCTACTTATTTATGCATTCATTAGTTGATTCTTGTATGTGCCCTGACCAGGGATAGAACCCAGTCCCTTGGTAAATCGGGACAGCACACTAACCAACTGAGCTATCTGGCCAGGGCCTGTACTGCACTTTAAAATGAGTTTTTTGTTGTTTTTCAACTATTCAGATTATGTCTTAAGCATATAGTCTTGAATGTTTGGGGAATTACTTGATTTCCTTCAGAGCCAAAATAAGGATCATTTTAAGAGCCATGTGCATTTAATTGTATTTCTCCTTGATCCTTGTAATTGGGAGACTCTTGTCCTGTTGGTTTCTACTGGTGTGTCTTGCCCTGAGAGCTCTGTCATGGCAGGTGGCATGACAGCAGACCCTGGGCCAGGTCTCCCAGGTGGTCGGTTTCTGTCCTAACTTGCCGAGTGGCCTCATACACTTGAACAGTCCTTCTGGGCCTCAGTTTTTTTCCCCTTGGAATGACATCAATGCTTTCTGAAGTCTGAAGTCCCGTATGGCACTAACAATCTGTGCTATTATTCTGTAATCCCCAGCTGTAGTAAGTAGCCCGGGACAAAGGTGCCAGGGCTGTATATACGTCATGGTGCTTACTCAGCGGCCAATGGTTTTCTTCACCCTGTCCCGCAGTCACCCCAAAGAATGGAGTGTCCACAGCGGCCAGTTCCAGACTGATACACTCACATGCAGCAGATATCCCGTGAAACAAACTTTCCATTAGTCACCTGTCTCTAAAGTCAGCAAACTGAAGCTATGAACAGAATTTGACAATAAGCCCTGAAACCACTGAATTCCTGCATCTCTTGCATTAAGGATTTCCTGGTCTTCATTGGAGACCAGTGCCTTTCCATTCTTCACTCTAGTATTGATATTCTTTTTTGTTTGGTTGGTTTTGGTCTTTCAACAGAGGAAGGCTCAAGCTTGGAGGAAATTGGCTTTAACTGGGGAGAGTACTTGGAAGAAACTGGTGCCAGTGCGGCTCCTCACACATCATTTAAACATGTACGTAACCTTCCTTCTCTTTCTGGTCTGGAGGGTGGGAAGAGGGGAGCCTGCAGGAAGATGCCAAGCCTATTGGAAGATAGGGAATGAGAAGAGAAGGGAAATTCAGCCACGATTTCTTAGAAATGAAGAAGAGATGGGGAATTGTTTTTCACAGATAGCTACAGGTGGGCTCGGCCTGGCTCTTCAGGTTTATCTCATCTAACACAGGGCTGGGCCCAGGGCGGGTGCTCATGAGTGAGGAACAGTATGTAGTTTTAACCTCGTCTGTACCTCAAAATGCCAAATTTGACAGATGTGGCCTTGCACATGGCCTGAGACAGGTAAGATTGTTTAGAATAAATAAAAGCCAGCAAACTAGGTAAGCATAATGTCTTCCTAGGAGGTGTAATGGCTATCTATTTTTATTTTGGATTGATCTTTTTTAAAATTAAATTAAATTTTTTAAAAAAATATGTTTTTATTGATTTTAGAGAGAGGAAGGGAGAGGGAGAGAGTGAGAAACATCAATTTGCTGCCTCTTGCACACCCGCTACTAGGGACTGAGCCTGCAACCTGGGCATGTGCCTTGATCTGGAATCGAACTGGTGACCTTTTGGTGCACAGGACAACGTCAGCCAACTGAGCCACACTGGCCAGGGCTGGATTGATGTTTTTATTTTGAAAGGACACATAAAAGTTTTATAGTCTTGTGGGCAGGATGAGTCAAATTAGGGGAAATACCACAAATATTCAGAAAACATTTAGATCTAGCCAAAAATAAATCATTCTTAGCAATGATATCTTTGAACAATGCAAATAGCTTTGCCCAGCAGAGTGCAAGTCTTAGGAAATAAAAATCGAGCTTTTATCAGATTTTTGTTTCTATAGGAGATTTTAGCAATATATTGTTAGTAAGAAAAAGACTAAATTTCCAGGACTTAAGTTTTTTGGCATTATTATTGCTTTGCTGGAAAGGGAAATTTAATTCTGAGAAACGTTTTGTTTTTTTTCCCTCTCACTGGGTTACCCAGGGCAAAGATTCAGCCTGAGTACCATTAACAAATTGAGGCATTTTCTTCACCTGTTCTTACTTTTGGCTGTCTTGCTGAATTAGGAAGCCAGAACTTTGATCCTTTATTTTAATGCAATATTTAATTCTTTTTGGAGGTGAAGTATTCTTTTGAAAAAGAATTTAAGACCTTATTAAATTTGCATCACCTTATAAAAGTAGATCACATTCTTAATTCTTTTTATACTGACACTCATAATGTTAAAGTTACTAGTTTATTATGAATATACTTGTGGCCATTCAGTGAAACCAAGAGGTAAATATTAAAACACAACGGAACTATAACTCACCTGGCGTACAGTGTGGATACGATCCTGCCAAGCTTCTTAAGATTCTGGGATGACTTGCTTAGGTTCCTTGAGTCTGTTTACAAAAAAGATATTGACAACTTTTTCCTTTTCTTTTTTACCCATAAGTTATCAATACCTCTCCATGTGGAGTAACTCCTGTTCTCTTTAGTCCAGTCAGTTTTTCCACCTTTTTTTTAATCACAATAGTTTAGGAAGCAGAGTATCCTCAGGCCTGTGTGCCAGGTGTCAAGGAAAAGCATCATTGGCCCATGAACAAGCCATTTGTAATTGCATCATCTCTTAAGCAGCTGCTATTCATAGACATCGTTGCTTTACCATTCGAACACCCGCCAGGCTGGAAAGCTTTTTTTGGGGGAGGAGGGCTGGTAAATATTAATAGACTATAATCCTTCATTAATAAAAAGAAAATCCACCCATGGCTGTCCTGTTCACGAAGTAGCCTCCAACCACCTGGAGCTGTTGAGCACATGGAAAGAGTGTCGTCTAAATTGGAATGCGCTGGAAGTGTAGAATACACTCTGGGTTTTGGAGGCTTCATTGGAAAAGAAGAATGTAAAATATCTCATTAATCTATTTTATATTGATGACATCTTGAAATGATGACATTTGGGATATGCTAGGTTACATAAAATACATTATTAAAATTAATTTCATCTGTTTTATCTTTTTTTTAACGCGGATCCTAGAAAATTCAGTGTCACGTTGGTGGCTTGCATTGTATTTTTGTTAATGCTGTTCTAGGGCAATACAGATACTGTTTTGTTTTGTTTTTTAAAAAAATATCTTTATTGATTTCAGAGAAAGGAAGGGAGGGGGGAGAGAGAGACAAAAACATCAATGATGAGAGAGTCATTGATCGGCTGCTTCCTGAACATCCCCACCCCCACTGGGGATCATGCCCACAACCTGGGCATGTGCCCTGACCGGGAATCGAACCACCATCTTTTGGATCCTAGGTCGATGCTCAACCGCTGAGCCATGCTGGCCGGGCTAGATACTGTTTTTAAGCACTATGTTTTCAACAGTTCTTGTAATCTTCTCTATGTATGTGTCTAGTGTAATAACCAGTTTCCTGTGCTCCTGGTTCCTTAAGGTTGAAATCAGCATTCAGAGCAACTTCCAGCCAGGGATGAAATTGGAAGTGGCGAATAAGAGCAACCCGGACACGTACTGGGTGGCCACCGTCATCACGACCTGCGGGCAGCTGCTGCTTCTGCGCTACTGTGGGTATGGGGAGGACCGCCGGGCTGACTTCTGGTGTGACGTGGTGATAGCCGATCTGCACCCCGTGGGGTGGTGCACGCAGAACAACAAGGCCCTGATGCCCCCGGATGGTAAGCTCCTGGCTGGCCCACGATTCGGAGCCTTTGGGTTTACAGGTCATCCTCATTCATGCAGCTTGCAGGGAAAACCTTGCAGAGATTCCATAACTGATTCAGCAGGAAGGTCTGGCACTTTAAAGATCGCTTCCCAAGTTCCATTAGTTTGAGGGCACTGGGGTGAGAGGGAACTTGGGTGCATTCTTTGATATCAGAGCTGATCCTGACAGCCAAGCCAGCTGTCACCTTTAGGAGACAAAAGCTCTGGAACCTGATTTTGGAGGTAGGAAGGAGGCTGAAGGGAGGCCGAGATTGAGGTTTTGTTTTCTGTTGGTGATGGATTATGTTGCATTTGTTTTGCTTTAGAGACTCCACATTTTGGATAGTGCTGTAGAGCGTCTGAAACAGGTCTAAGTTTTAATCTCTCTTGTTGTGGGGAGACTCTCAGATGTGATGCATATAGAAACCAAACACAAGGAGACATGACATTACTCTAGAGGGAATTGTCAAAGCTTTTGTAGATAAGACCCATTAGTTGCTAAAAAACAGTGGCAATTTTACTCCCTAGCGGACATGCGGCAATGTCTGGAAGCATTTTTGGTTGTGAGAGGGGGAGGAGGAAGGAGCTCCTGGCATTTGGTGGGAGGAGGCCAGGATGCTGCTAAACATCTTACAATGCAGAGGACAGCCCCCCAACAAAGAATTATTGGGTTCAGGCTGCCAGTAGTAGAGAAACATTGCTGTAAAAAATGGGACAGCATATTACAGACACATTAGAGGAACTCATCCTGTCAGTGAGAAAAATGGAGTCACCCAATACTTGAATCTCAACCCCCTCTCCTCTGTGTTTCATTACATGATGATGGCAGCAGTTACACTTGAAGACTTCTGATGCCAATTCTCAGGCATGTGTAATGTCTTCTTAGTATGTGGCTGCCACTTTTAACTTTGAATGGATATATTTATTTTGAAGGGACATGTGAAGTTTTCGAGCTGAATTCCAAGGTTTGTCATGCCCACCATATTCACAATTGCTTTTGCCTTTCAGAGCATTTGTATTTTACGTTCTTTTTAAAGTTCTGATATATTGTTTTTCTGTTTTGATAGGTGGGAATGGTCCATGGTTTTTTCTTCCCTTTTTTAATGCATAATTGAGAGCTGCTAAATAGTGGGGTCATTTAGCATGGAGTGTGAGTTGCATTAATGGGACATATGTGAGGATTGAATTGTGCCTTGGCCTTAGCTAACACCTTGACCCTTTATTGTCTCAGAAGAAAGATGGAGAAGCCCTTCTTTATTTCCTTTTTGCTTTCGCCCTTCGCATCTGTTCTCCTTTATGCCTAGAACCTCTTCCAAGCTTCTTCCTCCTCCAGCTGGCAGCTTGTCTTATCACTTCCTCAGGCAACTGCCGTTAAACTCTGTGTTTGCTCACAAGGCCTCGTGTGCCCTTGATGTTGATCATGTTTGCAACTGTGCCCGCCATTGAGTTTTTAAAAAATGAGATACAATTCACATACTGTAAAATTCATCCCTATAAAGTTCAGTGATTTTTATTACAGTCACCAGGTTGTGCAACCATTATCACTACCTAATTCCAGAGCATTTCTATCACCCCACAAATAAACCTTGTACCCGTTCACAGTCACTCTCTATTCTCCCCTCCCTCCAGGCCCTGGCAGCAATCACTAATCTGCTTCTTGTTTCTATAGACTTGTTTATTCTGGATATTTCCCATACATGGAATCATACAGTATGTGGCCTTTTGTGTTTGGCTTCTTTTACTCAACATGTTGTATCGAAAGCTCAGCCATGCTGTAGCACGTTATCGGCACTTCATTCCTTTTTATAGCTCAATCATATTCCCTCATACGGGCAGACCACATTTTGTTTGTCTATTCGTCAATTGGTGTACATCTGGCTGCAGCTGTACTTTGAATTGTGTGGTTCTTTGAGTCAAGGACTTACCCCCTTTTGTATTGGTTGTGTCTTTGTATACAGAAGTGGAGCCTTTATTTTTCACCTCTCTGTTGAGGGGTACTTCTCAGGTGAGTGCTGGAGAATGGTTGTTAATACATGAGGCTTTATTTTTCACTGTTCTAGTTCTGCAAATGGTTGGGCAAATGCTACACTGTAATGCCTTTGGTAATGCTTGCTACTCTTAGTCCCAGGCCCAGCCTAAATTGTGCCATAAGTGGCATTTTAATTTATTTACTTTTACCCTTTTTATAAGATTTTAAGTGTACAGTACATTATTGTTAACTATAAGCACAATGCTGTGAGACAGATCTATAGAACTTTTTCATCCTGCATAACTGAGAGTTTATACCCTTTGAACAATAACTCCCATTCCCCTTTCCTGGCCCCTGGTCGCCAGCATTCTACTCTCTGTCTGCCTATGTGAGTTTGATGGCTTTAGATGCCTCAAGTAAGTAGAATCAGGCAGTGTTTGTCCTCTTGTGACTGTTTTATTTCACTTTACTTAATGCCTTCAAAGTTCATCCATGTGGTAGCACATGACAAGATTTCCTTTTTAAAGGCTGAATAATATTCCATCTTGCTTTGAATTAAAATAGCCACCGAGGTGAGAAGATGTAATATGCAGTTATCTAATTTACTTATGAATAGAGAAAACCAGTCTTGATGGATGGAATTGTATTGATGGAATATTATGAAAATAACAATTCTAGTTAGAAAATTAGAGTAATTCTTATTTGCCCAGCTCTACTCACAAAAGCCACACACATACTCAGGAGGGTACAGACAGACATGCGTTAATTCTGGGGAGCCGATACACACTTGGGGGCACTGTGAGAGGGGGACACAGAAGGGTCCTGAGAGGCAGGTTCCCACTGCTGGCTGCAGCCTTGCCTTTTCACTGTCCTTGCTTATCTCAGTCACGCATGACTCACTCTTAAAGTCTGACACTGTAGTAGCTAAATGCCCTTGGAAAGGACGTAATCTGGTTTTGTGTTATAGATTATTTAGTGATTAGTTTTTGAGAGAAGTTCCAGGGTGCTGAATTTTAACACTCTAAGAGCTAATGGGTTCACTTGGTAAACATCCATGCTGTTGCTTGAGAAAGGCAGCATAGTTTATTAATCGATTCTTCCTCCTCACTTGGATGAAAAATGTGGCAGCAGTCACAGTTTCAGAAACACTGTCAAATTTGTATCCTACTGACTTCCTGCTATTAGGCAAGACACAGACACACTTAAAATGACAAATTCAAAATGAAAAATGGGAAAGCCCTGTGAAGAGGGAAACCACTAATGTGACTGGAAGATTGGAAGGCTCTTCACATGGTAACAAGTTATGCTAATTTTGAGAATTTCTTTATTGCTCCTTTTAAAAGAACTTTAAAGAAATTTAGTGGGTAATCAATATGGCTTGGAAATCTTTAGTGCAGAGAACAAAGTCAGGAAATAGCAGGTTCATGGGGCAAAAGGTTTTATTGATTCCTGCAGTACAGGATAATTATTGCTTTGTAGCCAGACAGCACTTGCTCCACTGGGAACCGTAGAATTTATTTTTGAACAAGGATTCTTGTTTCTGTGGTTTTCTGTCTTAGAGAGCTAATATCATTGTGAATTCAGAAACTGTACCTGGTTGATCTTTCTGGTGGTTCAACTTGAAAGGCACCACAGAATATTAACACGAGTTCAAATAATCCATGACACATAACATTCTTGTTTGGAATGTTCCATGGTGATAGGTTTCTTACTGATCCCAGGAATCAGGGTAGGGGCGGGGAGTGGGTTGTATAGAGGGAGGAGTGTTGCAGTTGGAGCCAGGACGTGAGGTTCTTATCTTGCTTTTGCCATTGACCTAGCTACAGGGTGAGTCCTCTCTCAGTTTTCGCATCTTTGAAATGAGGTTAAGAGTATACTATAATGTCCCAAGAGCTTTCCAGTCTGACACGTCTGGGTTTGTGATCCTTGCCAAGGAAAGGAGGAGGGAGAAGGTGCTCCTTTTCCTATTGTATACATGAGCAGCAGACTTTGCTTTGGAATTAGGGTCTATGGAAATCGAGCCTATGCATCTGTGTGAAGCACAGAAGGAAAGCTCCTAGGTTACTGTTGGGGACGATGAAGTTTCAACCAATTGAGGGACAAACTAGGATGGGAAATTACTGTGAGTGCCTGGGTCCATCCTCGCTGGCATTGGGTAGGATTTCTCTCACTGAGGATTGTAGACTCTGGTTTCCCTATGCAACCCAGAGAACCGGCAGTCATCTTACCTGAGCGAGAAAGATCAGCGCATGTGGAATTGAGTCATTCGGTATGTGGATGACAGCTTTAAAATATGGTTGGACTAAGCAAGATGATGGGAGCTTGGGGTGCTTTGGGGAGGAGAGGATTGCCTTGTGTGATCAGACTAAGTTTGTAGCACTCAAGATCTTTCAGGATGTTTGGGATTGTCCAAAGTTGACTTACATCTTCTGAAATCATCGCATTGAAAGAGACACATTTTATTATTTTCAATGATAGTTTTACGAAGCACGTAGCATTCTTTACAGTTCCATATTTTCCTGCCTTGCTCCTTTAAATGAACTTAACCTTTGAATTAATACGAGCTGTCATTATTACTTCAAATGTTACGAGGAAGGAAACAGCATAGCAGCAGACAGAATGCCACTAACAAGGACATGTTTAGAGGGACCTGGGTTTAGTGGCCAATTGGCCATTCAAAGAGCAGTGTCCCTGCTCCTGAGCTAATTGGTATTAATCTTTCATATTAAAAGTATTAAGAAACACACTACATTAAAGCACCACTCAGTGCAGTGGAGGATTAGCTCTTATTATTAGAGTTGCAAAATGTAAAACATTTTGGCTTAGTAAATCAATAAGGCGTGATTTATTCATAAGCACATGCAAAGCTCGCAAAGGGCAGCTGACAAATAATTATTGTTTATGGTGATAATGTAAGGAAGTAATTTAATCCAGTGATTGTTGCACTATTATTTATTGAGAAGGAGCAGCAATACCTCTTGATGTCTGGAGTGGCGGAGCTCTGGG